AAATCAGTGGCCTCCGCCCCCCCCCCCCCCCAACTTCCACGAATAAAACTGCACTTGTCAGTAAATACCACGCCACTGGTGGCTGACCACCCCACCCCCTTTCCACGCCACCGAACAAAATTGAAGCAATTTGTTGAGGATTATTATTATTATTTTAAAATAAAGGCTCTCTACAATTAAACAAAATATTTCCTTTTTTTCTCGAAACAATGAATCATTACCGTAATAAAGAGATTTATAAATTAATCAAACCAGGCTTTAGATGGGTTAGCTTTGTTGACATTTCCGAACGCAAATATCGTAAAATATATGTTTAAATTGTTAGCCTAATTGACTTTTCGCTTACAGATTATAGAAAAGGGTGTTTACATATTAATTTTGTTCTCTGTATATCGATGTCTAAACCATTTTCCCCAAACAAAAACTAAAAAGCAACAAGTAAATTAGCCTACAATTTAGTAGCATACATCAAAAGAAAACCTCAAATGATTGATGTTAACTTATAAAAAATCCGATACATTTACACCGTAAGCACATTTTATGTATAATCTTGACATGATAACATTATGTTTAATGTCCCCCACCCCACCCCTTTTCCTCTTTTTATTTAAATAGTGTGATTTGAGATAAAGAACACTTGGTATCGCATGTTGCAGTGTATTGTATCGAATACATTGTTTACATTAGGTTTTGAGTTTACCATTTTTGCATTCAAAATTCTTGATCCTAGCTTTCATTATTTTTAATGAAGAATACTATCTAAGTTATATACTCTAGTCTGGATTAACGAAATGTATTGTGTTTAGAATTCACACTATATTAGTAGAAGATGAAGTGCCTGCTAGTAGTTAACCAGCTTAATGACCCATTTTATATTGATTATGACGTAGATTTCGCAGAATACATCATTCGACGAGCACAAGATAAAGGTTTACTTGAGGTATGAATAGTCAAAGTTTAGGTTGGAGTCGTAGAGCAAAGTTTTGCACATGGGCGTTCTCGCCCCATTAATTGGGGCACAGCTAGAGGGTAAACCAGGAATAGGAGCTAGACCACATCCTAAAAAAAGGGGGAGGGGCGGACAATTATTGCAATAGTCAATTCAATAGTAATAATAATACTAGTACTAGTTATAGTAATAATATCAATAAACATTAAATACCTTTACAATAGTGTAATGACTATAGACTATAGTACGTTTAAGTAAATTTTTTTGTTAATTTGGAGAGATAGCACCCTGACGTCATTTGCGTGTTTTGTCCCTGGTTCCGATAGGGTCAAAACCCTGGTTCCGATAGGGTCAAAACCAAGGTTAGGGATAATTTTTGGGTTCAGGTTAGGTTTAGGGATACATTTAGGACATAAGTTTGTGGGTTGCGGCAACCAAGATGGCGGCCATGGTGCTATCCCTCCAAATTTCCCAATTTATTTTAACAAAATGTTTTCTGGATGTTCCCTTGTAGAAAGAATAAATGAGATTTGAAATTAATATTGACAGTTCAACAGATGTGGTCAATTGTTAATCACAGGATAGTTTCATACTAATCATATATTTTTTAAAAAAAATCTTGTTTTCCAGAATAATTTTTTTTTAAAAAGTGCCCATGATTGATTTCAAGCTCTTGTCATCAATTTTTCCAACCTTTTATTATAGTAGAATGGGGTGCATGCTATATAATTTATATTTCTACTCACTCTGCTAGAGTGGGTGGGGGATTGAACTATCATTGCCCCAGCCCGGTGGGTGGTTAAGAGGTTGAAACTGGAAAAAACTTAAATATTCAAAAATTGCTATATTTTAATAGGAATATTCTTTCAGTAATTCTCTGGTAAATGTTTGACCGAGCAAAATTATATCCTAAAAAGATGGACTGAATACTGCTCAGAGCTGTGTAATGAAAATATAAAGATAGACCCAGAGATCCTTAATGTCCCTCCAGCAACCGACAATGGAAACTACCCTATTCTCTGTGCAGAAGTAGAAGCAGAAGTCCAAGCACTCCAAGTAGAAAGGCCGCAGCAGTGGATAATATCCCTGCCAAGTTGGTGAAACAAGGAGGAGAAGCAATGATAAGTGCCCTAATCAATATTTGTCACAAAATATGGCTGACGGGAATGGCCCAAATCATGTACCCAATTGCTCATCATCACCCTCCCCAAGAAAGGTAACCTACAGCTATGCCAAAAATATTGCATCATTAGCATAATAAGCCACCCAGGCAAGGTCATGCTAAAGGTCATATTGAACCGACTAAAACCATATGCCGACAAAATCATTTCTGAAGAACAGGCGGGCTTCAGGCAAGGATGTGACACTACTGAGCAGATCCTAAACCTCAGAATACTATGTGAGAAATGTGCTCAACACCAACAAAACCTATACCACGTCTTTGTGGATTTCAAGAAGGCATTCGACAGGGTTTGGCATGCTGCTTGATGGGCCACCATGAAGCACTACAACATCAACACAAATCTAACCAGAATTATATGCAGCCTCTATGATAAGGCCACCAGTGCAGTCTTCTTCAACAATAACATTGGAGAATCGTTCAAGACCATGGTTGGAGTATGACAAGGCTGCTTGCTCTCCCCCACTCTGCTCAACATCTTCTTAGAGAGAATTATGTCGGATTTTCTGGAAGCATATGTAGGGACAGTCAGCATTAGTGGCAGAACAATTACCAACCTACGTTTTGTGGATGACATAGATGAACTGGCTGGAAACGAAGAAGAGCTAGCCAACCTAGTAAAGCGTCTCGACAAGACTTCATCGTCCTTTGGCATTCAAATGAGTGCAGAAAAAACAAAATTGTTGACGAATAACACCACCGGCATCTCGACTGAAATTAAGGTCGGTGAGGAAAGATTAGAGACAGTAGGCAGCTTCAAGTACCTAGGAGCAATAGTCTCGGAAGAAGACTCCAAGCCCGAATTGATGTCCAGGATTGCCCAGACCACAACAGCACCAAAAAGGCTTAAGAAAATATCAAATGACAAAAATATAGCCCCCAGCACCAAAATCGGGCTGATGTGCTCATTAGTCCTCTTCATTTTCTTGTATGCCTGTGAGTTCTGGACATTAACAGCATAACTTGAAAGAAAAATAAAGGCGGTGGAGATGAGATGTTTCAGAAGCATTCTTGGAATCTGCTATAGAGACCATATCTCTAGCGAACAAGTGAAAGAAAGGATTCGTCAAGCAATTGGGCAATATGATAACCTCCTGGAGACTTTAAGAAAAGCACAAACTGGAATGGTATGGCCACTTGACAAGAAAACAAGGGCTCCCCAAAGAAATCATGCAGGGCAAAACGAGAGGAGGGAGAAGAAGAGGAAGACAGAGAAAAAGATGGAAAAATAACATCAAAGAGTGGACGGGACTACAACTAGGCGATGCTATGCGAATTGCAGAAAACAGAGAGGAATGGAAGAGGATAATTTTCATGTCATCTGTGGCACCCCAACGGTCCAAGGACTAAGGGACATGATGATGATGAATTCTCTGTCACACCAAATTTATTTGAAAAAACGTACACTGACTGCTCTCAAAAAGACTGCTGTCAAAAACACAGATACATTTGGCATACCGTCTACACAGGAAAGAGTATGAGTCTGAGATTAAGTTAGTTGGCCCCTATGTCATTTAAATTATATAATAACATTTGCACTTACAGTGTTACAGGATTGTGTTTCGTTGTATTCTTTTAAGCATTTGAAAATTACTAAGGAAATTTGATGTGCATCTTTGTTTACAGCATGATGCTGACATTACCAAATTGGATGCTAATTTAGTGATGCAGTTGTTTTCTCCATTGATTAATTCACAAAGGCTACTTATTGATAGGACCAAAGAGCCATGTTCCTCAATTGTTTGTCCTAATGGGTTTCGTTTTGTTTTCAAACATGTAAGTATGCAAGTCAAATTTTTAAACAAATTAAAGTTTATAGACTATAGTTTTCACCATTGTTTTTAACATAATCATATTTAGTATTAAAGTAAAGGAAAAATACAAATTCAGTTAATTGAATTTCAACCATCGCATTAGCTCTTCATTTATTTAGGAGAAAAATCCCTGTCTTGCTTTTTTAATAGATTGATTTCATACATAAATTTGTCAATGATTCTGTAGCAGTTGTTTGTTTTCCCTTGTTGGGTTGCTGGTCCAACACAGAAACCATACAAAGCATGTAGTCTATGGACCATTTAGTCTGGCCCTCTTGCCAGTATACCCCTCCACCATGTCAAGGTAGATTCTTGAAATTTGAAAAGAAGGTGGAGATGGATAGGTTATACCATAAGTATACCAATGCCAAATATATCTAGGCAAACACTGGTATGGAACCCTTAATGACCAAGAGTATGGGTAGAACTTAGAACACTTGGTGAAAAGAGATTGGCAAGGATGTACTTAAGATTGGAATGAGTTAGAGAAGTTTGCTTAGACCAGAAGGCATGAAAAGATATTGTTAATACCCTATGCTTCACTGGGAGTTAAAAAAATGGAAAGAAGAAGAAGACAGGTACATAAATAAACACACCTCATTGCAATAGTGGAAACCTTTTTCTCAAATGTTTACTTTGCAACGATTTTATATCTTTAAATTAATTGATTAAATGGTACTTTTTTAAAAATATTTTTCTAATAGATGCTTCAAACCATTTTTAGAGCAATAAACTTGACTAAAAATATTAAAGCTTAAAGAATTTACCTTTTTTCAATAAGTTAGAAAATACAGCTTATCAAATGGTCAAAACAAAAGAGCACATTATATAACATGGAAAAATGTTGTGAACATTGACTAAGGAAAGAAGGGAGCTAATTATAAATTTTTTTAAAATGTTGATTTTTAAGTTGATCTGATGTGTCAAATTTGTGTGTTCACCAACTTATCCATGTCCATGAGCAGTTTCCTTTTATATACGAAGTTGCGCTTTTGTTCCAGCAATTTTTATGTAAAGACTTTGTTTTACTTTGTGAGCTTTACCATAATCTGACACTTGTCATTACTTACCACCGGCAATCAACATAAATATTAAAATATTACTTTCTAAGATGGAGGATCTTCTTATTGTCACAATTAATGGTGATGGTACTGAATCGGAAGTGTTTCTGAATCGAAAGATAGAAGTTTTCATAATGGTGATGAGATTCATGTTTGGTCCAGTGTGTGAAGAGTAAGTAATTTTTTACATTTGTGAAGTGGCATGTATTTGGTATAGTTTTTGCCCAAGTCAAAATTAGGCCCACAGAAAGCTCTCCTTAATAACACATTTTCCACACGTTAAGAAGCGCAAAACATCCTATAAAGCCTATTTCTCATGTAAAAAAATCAAGGGTTTATTTGTACTTGCAAAAGTTGTGACCATTCTTATAAACAGAAGCAATATTTGCTTATTCATTTTTACAAACATTTTGATGGATTATCAAAAGAATAATTGTATCTTAATAATAAATATAATATATTTTACTCAGACACACTCCCAGAAAAAATACTTACATTGTCTCTTGGAGATAGACACAACAGAAAATAAGTAAAATAAAAAGGAAGCATTTTAGCTTAGTTGCCTGTCTCATGAATAGAGGAGTTAGAAGCCCAACAGCAATTAGCTTAAATTGCCATAAAAAACATTTTTTACTATTGATTGGTCAAAAGGGACTTTACTTCTACAGAATGGGTCAGTCTCATTCCTACAGTAAGAAGGCTAAATGGAATTTTCTTCGACAACTTATGAACAATTGGGCTAATATGGTTGAATCAGAGCAAGGATTTTTGGTTGAGGTAATTTTAAACTCATAAATGAATGTTAAAATATTAAAATTTTTGTTGCTTCCTTAGTTAAAAAATGTATTAAACTGTATTTTCATTTTATATAAATTTGCTTGGTACTGCTTATTAAGCTCTTATTATTTTTTTCACAGGCTATCGAAAGACTACATGTCAATCAAGTTGTAAGTGAGAAATGTGTGGAAATTCTGGAAAGATCAGTGAAGCAGATCCAAGCAGCCAGGGACCAACCTACCCAGCATGCTATTTTACTAGTCAACAGCAAACTTTTAGCTCTTTATTCCAAGTGAGATTTTTTTATCTATTTCCTCATGTTTCAATTTTCCACAATATACATGCTACTCACCAATTAAGAAATTAAATGGGAGCAAAGTTTTGCCTATTCATTGAAATGAGCTCCTATATTGTCCATTTACCCAGTTCACAAAACTTTTCACACCTTTCTGTTTCTGGATCAATAAAGTATCTTGATTCCATTTAATATAGATTTAATATTGACATGGACTTTGTTATTGCCTAATATTTGACTAACTTTGTATTCAAATAAATATTAATTAAAAAATAATGAAACACAAAACAGCTTTATAATGATTTATTTAGTCCCTCAAATCATAAGCCAAAAGTTGTAAAATGTATTATAAAAATAGCATTTGATATTTTTTGTATTGTCTACCATCCGCACTGTTTATATTTTATGTTTAGCCGCAGTGCCCATGAGCTAAGGGCCAAAGATATTTTAGCTGTGATGATCTTAGCCAGGACAATGTATCCTCGTGCAGATAGATTGGAAGATCTTTTTGCAAAACATTACATTGGGTCAGTGTCTAGATCAAGGGCTTCTTCTAGAGATGACAATAGTGATGTTGGGGACGATGAGGTGAGAGTAAAGATATATTTGATGGAAGAATGTTCAGTAGTTTGAGTTGAGAGTACAGATATTTTTGATGGTAGGATTTGAGTAGTTTGAGTTGAGAGTACAGATATATTTGATGGGAGGATTTGAGTAGTTTGAGGTGAGAGTACAGATATATTTGATGGAAGGATGTTGGGGATCATAAGCTTAAGTACAGATAAATTTGATGGGAAGATTTTGCTAATGCCACATCAAATAGTGTGCTAACTTGTGGAGTAGAGTGCCTGAAAACCAGAATGCATCAAATAAAAATTGAGACTTATTCAGTATTATTAAGCAACCTGCTGCTCATATATTTTATGTTTTTAAGACATCTCAGGAGTATTAAATCATGTAGAAAAGACAGAAAGCAAATTTTAAATAATTGCTTAACCCAATTTATTACAGTACCACAGTGCACCTAATACCCCTGGTGGCAAAAGATCAAGATCACCATCTGTAATATTAGATGATCTGAGGCAAGAACGGATACTCAATAACTCATCTTCAAATAGCCTTCTGTCTCATGACACCATTACAAATCTAAAAGATTCACCCCACTCATCCATACCAGGATATGAAGTAATCAAAGACGCTGGTTCATCTGATCAGGAATCTTCAAGTCATAGAGAAGATTCTGAATCAGGCCCTTCATTGCTGGATATGTACACTGAAAAATACCCAGATCATATGTTTCAGAAAGTGAGACCTGACAAAAATAATTCACATACAAAGACACAGGCTGGTGACAAAAAATGTGATTTAGCATCTGTCCAATTAGATGTTCAGGTTGATGTTCATCCTGGGGTTTCACCACATTTACAAGTTAATCTTGTAGAAAAAGAAAACTCAAACCACTCTGAGACACAACATGAGATAGGTAAACAAAAAAAGTCTGAAAATATTACTCAGTCATATAGTATGATATATATAATAATATATGATAATCAATTAATCCTTCACATTATACACTTAAAATTAATGAAGTACATGCAAAGTAACTGATTCAGAAAACATTCTAATATTGTCAGATTTAATCCTCATCTAGTGGATTTAAGTAATTGTTATATACTTTTATCAAAGTGTAGTTTGCAGCTGACCCTCTCTCACGTATCTCAGATATTGATGAGCTGGAAGTCACAGACTATCGCTCATTACCAGCAGATGTAAACAGTAAAAGGTTTATTGCTTCACAATTTTCCCTTGAACCTAATATTGACATCTCAACCCCTTCTAGGTCTAGCTCAGGTAAAGCATTTATTAACATTTTAATGAGGTGTCTTTTTCTGTAGTGATTGAATGCTAGCTTAAAATTTCAATGTATTTATAAAAATAAAAAAATAAAAAAGATAACTAAAAGAAAAACATTAGATTTAAAGATTTCTTGAAACAGTTACTTGCAAAGATTAGTTTTTCTGATGTGGAAACCTATTTTTCCCATCTTTCTTTATTTCATAGTTATTTCAAATCTGAGTAAAAGTTACCCAGAGCTTTCATCTACCAATGGGCAAGAATTTCCTTTCACAGGAGTTGTACAAACTCAAGCTTTAGAAGACACAGTTGATGCAGTTCAAAGAAATAAAAGAATAACAGTTAAGTGTCTTATCTTAGGGTATTTAGTGGGGGAAATTATAATGCAATACATCAGTGATGGCCTCACTGAAATACAGAGAGCTATACGGTTGGGTGTACTAATACTGATTGTTAAAAAAATTATGGTCTACTGCCTTGAAATGTGATCAATATTAAAACAATGTATTTACGTATTTTATGATTAAAATAATGTTCTTAAAAATTTAGGCATCATACTGAATAATGAGTTTTTACTAGGCATGACCTTGAATACAAAAAAATGTGTATATAATTTCATGTTAAATTAATATTAATAATTAAATAAAAATGTGTATTATTTTACTCTTAGCCAGCAATGATAGGTTCCTATTCAAATTCTGAGCTTCATCATCATCATCATGGCCCTACTGCAAGGTCAAGCCATGCAGTGACTTTCCCTTTACAAGACACCATTACAGAGCAAGAAATTGTTAGCAGCAAGCCTAGTTTTAACACATATTGGCCACACACAATTTTCTTGGAGACATCTGCTTGTCAATACTCACCTTACAACATGCACAGTATCCAGGTTTTACCTGGTGTCACGGTTCTTTTTCTATCTCAGGTTTGATTCAGTTAGTTTTCTACAAAGCCTGCTAAAGAGCATATCTTTTAACAATTGCTTTGAAATGTATGCCTCTTGAAGTTTCATCTTCTAATATTTTTACATGTTTCTATTATTAGTTTAAGGAAAATTGAATCCTTTTTAATTTTACCTAGGCACCAAGATATGCTGTAGCAGATGCCTTGTTTCAAGTAATCAATAGTTTGCAAGATCTCATATATGATAGACGTGTTAAGCTGAATCGCTCTCAAAGTATTCATGTTTATGACATCATCAACTCATTACTCTCCAAGCTGCATAACAATTTGAAAAAATTAAAGGTATGATTTTGTTGTTTAATTTATTTTTTAGGCATACTTTTTTTAACACTCACATTACCATCACAACATCTTAATTTATCTTTTAAGATTTGCAAATACCTTTTAAAAAATTTCTAGATTCACTTTGCTGAACTATTCATTCAAAATGTCTTTAAAAGCTATATTTTTGTAAAATATATTAGGTGTTTGTCCTCATTTCCCCCTATCCAATATATAGGTGCAAGGAATGATCACCGAAATGTTAATGTTTGTTGGACTATCACCCTTTGTGAGACAGACCCTTTGACAAACTATTTTGGGGGTTGCATCTGTTTGCCTACTGAATCAGAGCCCCCCCCCCTCGGGCTTATGTTTATTCACAATTATATCATGAGGTTTTTGTTTTTTGAAGGAGTTGCTTGAAAGAAATCATGTATGGCCCATGTCTTGTAGAAAGAAGAAGAGTTTAGTTTTAAAAATTCAGTCTGTTTAGTCTACTTCTGTTCACCAAATATTGGTTAACTGCCAATACATGGCTGTAACTGCCCAGGTGTTAGAATCCCTGAGAGTCAGTTGTGTGGGGATGTTCCTTTGTTATAAATGAGAATAGACTAAGAACGTAGAGATACAATAAACAAAGGGGTATATTTAAGGGCTAGTAGTGTGCAGGTGGTCAGTAGTGCAGGGGGAGAGTGAGTGAGTCGAATATCAGTGTATAGTTGTCTTTATAGTGTTGCCAGTGATCCCATAGGATATGTGGTTCTTTGGCTAAGCTTGTTAGTGGAACCAACATTACCAATGGAAGAAACTGTTAAAGCATAAAGATTAAAGTGTTAGTGTAATAAAAGTATCACAACTTATAATTGGACTTTGCATCAAGTGTTCTTATGTACTGATGAAAGAGTTTCACATGTTATACCCTATATAATGACACCAACACAATTCTTGACAATGGCAAGAAGTATAAAACCTATATAACATTTTTTTATTGACTAAACTAGATTATATTTTTCATCAAATGAAATAGTGCTCTTGAAACTCTCCTCTTGTTGATATTTTATCACTTTCAATTCTTTTCAAGGGTATGGTGAAGACATTAAGTTTTGACATTCATCGCCGGTGGGAGAAAGAAGATCTAAAACAAAAACTCCTTGATTATATGGAGAAGGATATAAGATTACCTATTCCATCAGAGTAAGTTCTTGGTTTGAGAGTAAGTTGTTGGTTTGATTCTCTGCACTGTATAGACTTTCTTCTACTTGTACTTACAAGGCATTTTGCTTGAAAGTTAAAAAAAAATTAAACATGGAGAAGTTTAATTTTCAAAATATATATTTGAAAATAGCGGATAAGCTACCTTTTCATTGGTTTGTTTTAAAGCGTCGTAAACCTTTTTTTTTTTGTACTGTACGTCATATCAAAGAAAAATAAATAATTAATCATGGCACGAATTTCTTAAATTATGTTTAATTTGTGTTTAATGTTGTTCTTTGAATAGACTTGAGTCTCCATTGTTGGAGCTTTACAAGAAACTGAAAGAACTGTTTTCACATCTGTTTTTGACTCCAATTCCACACTCTCCACAATTTTTGGAGTCTTTATCACAAATAAAAGTGAGTCATTCCAATTTTACTTACAATTTTTTTTTTTATTGTAAAAGAATTTTTGTGAATGATCAATTTGAAATAGGTTTTTTCTCAAAATAATATTTACAGTTTTAAACAATTTATTTTAATTTTTCTGTGTGCAGTTTGTATGATTGTAAATACTAATAGATGTAAATTAAATGCACACTGAGCAACCAGCCATCTACTAATTTTGATAAGATGCTTGTAGATAAATTTATAAAAAAACCTAGTGTTATGATGGGCAAAAATATTTATTGTTTAAAAGTAGTCATAAATGCATTTTATTTATCTTAGGTGAGCATGCACAGAGACTTGGTAGACTACAGGGAGTATCTAAATGTCAAAGCAGAACGAAACATCACAATGCCTTCTTACTTTGAGGATTATCCTGGACTCATACACTTTATATTTATTGATCGCCACTTCCATCAGATGAGTGCTCCAGCTCTCAACATTTCTCTAAAAGCAGGAGAGAACACAGATGCTACCAGCTATCTTAAGGAAAAAGTCAGTTTTAGAACACAGATGCTACTAGCTATCTTAAGGAAAAAGTCAGTTTTATAACACAGATGCTACCAGCTATCTTAAGGAAAAAGTCAGTTTTATTTTTTTATAATACCGCTCTAAAAAACTAAAGCACTGGTGGTTGATTTTTTTTTTTTTTAAATGTCATCTTTAGTTTTTAAAAGTTCTATGCAAGTATTTTAAAATGTACAGTGACTGTTTTCATGTAGTATTTATTGTGCTCTTATCAACAGATTTGGGTCATGTATGAACACATGATGTGTAAACTGACTGAAGGTTACACCACTGTTATGTTGAAAGAAGGGGACTTCTATTTCTCATACTTCCTGTGGTTTGAAGATGATGCAGTAAGAAAATATACAATACTACTAATTTATATTATATTAATACTACTGATGCTACTTTGTGTGTGGCCGCCAAAGATCACAAGCCGACTAGTCCTAATAAACAGCTCTAAAGTTTTGGAATTAAAGATTAATAAATAAGATTGAAAAAAACTGGTAGATTACATAGTAATATTTGGACACAGAAACATGATAATAAGGTGAATTAATTAAATTTTAATAGAGTATATGGTTTCTATAAACATATTTAATTTTTGTTTTATAACGAAGTCTATAATTTTTTGTTTAGTATTTCAATCTAAATTTGCTGAATTTGTTGTGGATTTTACTCTCAAATTTTGCTTTTTCATTTTTAATTCAGGGTAATGCCTTGCCTGTGCAGGAGAGTTTTAAACCATCAACAAGGGCTTCTTACCCAGGTATTCTATGTGGATCATTTTATAGGCAAGTAAAAATGTTAAATATATCAACACATTTAATTAAATTGTTACAGTGTAAAAATGATACATTCAATAATTTCCATTTACAGCATAATAAATATAAATTTTTAAAATAAAATTGATGTGAAAGAAAATGAAGAAATTCTTTTTTTCCCTTTCTTACTTCAATCATCATATTGAATGAAAAATATATTGGTACATTGTGCTACACATTTAATTAAATGAGGACAATATTGTAATTTTGATTTCAGAGAATTGGTTCATCACTGCTTTCCACACACCTTTCAAGGATCCATTCGTTGCTTTGAGATGTTTCTGATGCATCTTGGAGCTGTTCATCCAGAGTACATCGCTGGGCATTGCAAACAGTTGGCTAAGAAAATGTGGGAGATGTCAGGAGAAGCTTACAACTCAGTCAGCCTTCTGTAATTATTTGTCTAAATCACATGTTTAGCTTTACATCAATTTGTACTTTTTGGTTATTTACTTTTTTTTAAAAAAAAAGCATCATGCTTGAACTGTACATACAATAATTATTTCAAATAAAAACAAAATGTATGAGTAGTATTATTTAAAAAATTTAGGATAAGAGAGAATCATGGTTAGAGAAGGCTGTTTGAGATGTTGATCCTAAATAACTCTTTTTGTAACAATCTTGTAATTTTTAATTGTTGATCAATTTGAGCTTTCCTAAGCAAACCCTGCATATTTGTATGTTCTTCTCTTAAAATATTTCCAGAATTAATTATTTTAAACAGTGTTTGAAATATTTATTTTTAGATGTTTAGCTTTTAAAACTGAAAAGTTTTTGCTTTGTTAAAATTATTCACCAGATGCATTCCTTAGTTTTTGCTTTAAAGAAACTTTAAAAAATATGTACTGATTAGGCTGTGACATTTTCTTTAAAAGGCATTTAAGTTAAGCTATTAAAAGTAAAAGTGTAGCGTTTATTTAACGTAATGGTCTGATTAATACATACCTTTTTGTTATCAGTTAATTTGGTGAACATATGTCTAAGTTGTATTATTTGTTATTGGCAATACAAATTACATTATATTTAATTAAATGTCTGCTGTATTTATATTTTTAAAATAAAAATCTTAGTGTGTGTCATTGTCGTGTCTGTGAATTTTGTGTATGTGAGTGTAGTGCATGTGATTGTTGAGACTAAATTTTAGTATTATCTTTATCTGCTGTTGAACAAATAAGTGACCATTATTTTTTTTAGGACATTAATTTTTAAAACAAAATAAGAACTGTTGCTGGGTGTGTTTATGTATGTGGGGCTAGGTAGCTTACTGCTCTTCCTTGCAGTTAACTTCCAACCTTCTTTCACCATAGGACAAGTTATTTTATGTCAGTAGTATTAAGAAGAAGCAAATTCTAAGAAGCATTTGACTTGATAATAGGTTTTGATTTTTTTTTTTTTTTTTAAGTTAACAGATGTTTAAGTTGACCAATTTAACTACTTTTGAATTGAAGTTTTATAATAAAATATATTCTTATTTTTAAATATTTATTTTTTAGCATTTGACTTGATAATAGGTTTTGATTTTTTTTTTTTTTTTTTAAGTTAACAGATGTATAAGTTGACCAATTTAACTACTTTTGAAATGAAGTTTTATAATAAAATATATTCTTATTTTTAAATACTTATTTTTGTCACTATTATATTAAAAGGCACAATGGCTAGTGATATCTAATAAAAACAACAGGTTTCTAAATGTGGAAATGATGGAGCAAATAATATAATTTAACATGATGAATAATCTTAATCATAAATATCATCTGGTCCTAAATAAAGATTATAATTAACATTCAAATTCAAAGCATTCAATAGTTCAATTGTGCAATAATCACTTACCAAAATGATTATTTTTGTTGTAATTATTTTAACTTTAAAAAATAATTAACATTTTAATTACTTAAATACTTAAGGTAAATTGAAAGCAATAAATGCAGTAGCATTTGTTTATTTAATATTTTACATGCTCCAAGTAAAGCCTCAGAAAACAAGTTTTAGAGTTTTTAGAATTTGAGATATTGAAAAAGAAAAAATAAGTATTATAAGTGTCATTCTTCTCCAACAATTTTAAGCACTTAAAATAATAATAAATCAGATAATTTTTTAAAATCATTTTCCCATATATATTTTTCAAAAATACTTAGGCTCTATAATTAATTATCAAATATACAATAATACTTTTTTTCAACAGTATATTCTGTCGATTGATTCACCATTCTTTATTTGCATGCTTCATTACAACATAGCATTAAAATTTTTTTTAGCTAAGTAATATTGAGAACCAAAATTTAAATAAATGCATGAACTTTATTACAGCAAAATTTTTACAATGGACAAAACTTATCAAAGGAGTTGGTACACACAATGGTCACATTTTTGGTTCCAAGAACTAGAACTAAATGTAAAGTAAATCTGGGAATGGAGCTCTTACTTCCATTCTGATTAAGTAGAAATATTGTGAAGAAAAACTTTGACTAGTACAAATGATTTAACATTATTAGTATGGAATGTAATGCTAGTAACAGCCTTTCTTGAAAAAATTATTATGTATCAGTAGTTTACATCTTTGAGAGACATGAGTTAAACTACTTGCTATTTGATTTACTGTATGTTGAAAACCTTATTGAAAAACTCTTACAAACTGCAAAATTCTCAAATAAATGTTACTCTAAAGAATGGTGATGCACAAAACCCAAAACCTAGATTTGTTTAAATTCAAAGAAAACAACAAAGCTGTTACATTTATTTCAAATCTTACATTTGGCAATCCTCAAAATTACCCAGAATTTGACAAAAAGACTACATTTTATCTGAACTGGATTCATAAAATGTTTTTGTTGTTGCAATTTTAAGTTTGCTGTATAGGATACCAAAGCAGTACAAGGTATAAAACATTTTAATTAACAATGTTAACCATGCTGATAAGACTACACAGTATAAGCAATCTACAAGTATATGATATTAAATTTTAAAAAAAATTAATTGGCTCATTCTAATTTCACATAAATAAATATTTTCTACTGAATACAGAAACACTTATATATATCATATTTGTATTTTTAATTTGTGGAAGCACAACTTTAAAATGATAAACTGATAAGAATATAGTAAATAAATGAAATTATTAGTTACATTCAGAATTAGGAGAAAATAAAAGAAAGAAGAAAACTATGCATTAATATTATTTTTTAAATTTAATTTAATTGTGTTGCTTTAATTGCACCATAAATATACACAATATTATTTCTAAAGAATCTCATTATCATTTAAATTAAGTGATAACATAAAATAAATGATCTGTATTTTTAAAGGGCAGTTAATTTTCAAATTGAAATCAGCATTTTTTGCATGTTCATACTTATGTTTTAAAAAAATTCTTTTTTTTTTTTTTTAAACTTTATTTTTCTGATTCCAAAAATAAGCTTACTAAGAGTTAAAACTTCAGAGGCTATCTTAAATAAACAATGTCAGATTTAAAAGCCATATATAAATTTAATGAATAAATTTATTTTTAAAGGGCAGTTAATTTTCAAATTGAAATCAGCATTTTTTGCATGTTCATACTTATGTTTTAAAAAAATTCTTTTTTTTTTTTTTTAAACTTTAATTTTCTGATGCCAAAAATAAGCTTACCAAGAGTTAACACTTCAGAGGCTATCTTAAATAAACAATGTCAGATGTGAAAGCCATATCTAAATTTAATTGATAAGTTTCACATAATTAGAGGGAAACATTCCATATGAGCCATTGGGCGCAAAGCCTTGCCACCAGCCATCATCAATTTCAGCAATATTTGTGATAATATTATCTGGGTCAAAACTGATCTCAGTATCATCAGCTGTAAATTGAGAAATAAAAGGTCAAAATTGAAATAATAAATAGGAGGTGAACTAATGACAAATTATTCAGTAAATAAAAAAAGAATAAGTAATGGAAACAACCCTTACCTAAAACAACAAAATGTAAATTATGAATGCAATAAGAACCTTGCAGACCAATGGTGATATAATACCAAAGGAAAGTTTCTGCAGCCAAAATTAAATAATGAACTGTCATATAACCACTGGAACAAGTAAGTTTGAGAGGATTCTTACAATTTAATGTAAAACTGGATTTTAAAAAAGAATTAACAAGACTAATGAACATTCCATATTTTATATGTAGCAGAAAAATAAAATTTATTGGCAAAAACTTTTATTTTTGTGAAAAGATGATGAAGAATTATGAAAAACTATATAATTCACAATTAATTAACTTTTTTTTTTAAATTTCTGTGAGCCATCAGTTTTCTACACTCACACTAACCTATTCCTTATTATATTTAATACAGTGACTTACATGCTTGATAATCATATAAGGCAATAGCACATTTTCCCATTTCAGGTGTGATGTCAACAGCAGGGGCTTGTTGCTGTTCATCTTCTGGCTCCTCAAAATGCTGCACACCACTGATACGATTAGATTGGGTCTCTGCATGCTGAACTTCTGAAGAGTAATCCTCATGATATGATGGAACTCTCTTTTCTTTAAATTCAAAATCTTCAGCTGGGGGTTCTAATGTTTAAATGAAAAAAACAGCTTTTTTATTTTTTGGATTGGAGTTGATTGAGCAATACAATTTTAAAGATAAATATAGCAATTTAACCAAACAAAAGAATTAAGGCTCAGTGACATATCATGCTACCTTCCCACTCTTGTTCATTATCCTCCTCTGCATCTGAATCCTGTCGATGAGGTAAATTACTTTTGAGCAAATCTGGTGTTTGCAACACAGTTGGGGAAGAAATTGGTTCAGGTTCTTGATCATAGGCTGGTTCAGGTTCTTGTTCATAGGCAGGTTCTGGTTCATAGGCTGGTTCAGGTTCTTGTTCATAGGTTGGTTTATGAATATACTCCTAAAAAAAATAGGAAAACAATATGTGGCTTTTTTATTTTTTAAAGGGATTCTTATGCTGATAAGGATGTCTTTCCCATTGAAAAAAAGTGATTTCTTTGAAAAATGGATTCCTAATTGATATATTTGTATCCCACTTACTGGTTCGGGCTGGTGAACTGGTTCCACATGTGGTTTAACAGTTTCTTTTCGAACTGGTGGAGCTGTCTCTTTGACTTGTTCTTTTTCTCCAAATTCAGCACGGATTTTTCTACATATGTAAAATAATGAGTCAGATAAAAATAAATAAAATTTTTTAAATTATTTCTAACAAGGTACAACATTTTTTAAAACACTAATAAATCTTTAATCAATTAGTGAAGATATGCAGTTGATTTGAGTAAGAGAAATGTTTATTCCAATTTTTTTTTTACCTAGGAGGTGGTGGCGCTTTCTGAGCCACTGAGGGTCTTTCCACTGATTTTTGCTTGAAGAAGTCTCTCGCACTTGAAGTTGTAGAAGAAACAAGTTGAGCTGCCTCCTGTTTAAAAAGAAATAATTTTTTAAAATTAACACAGCTGCTTATATAAAAAAAATTAAATCTATTGCTGATAAATTATTTTCATGCCTTTCAATTTCATAAAAATAATTTTAAACTCTACTTACAGCAGTGCGTTCTTTCCTCAATTGATCACTACGATGACCACGTTCATTTTCATCAATACTAGATTCTTTCTGCATTTGTTCCTGAAAGACCAAGAATTTTTTAAAATTAAAACACTTGAAACATTAACATTTTAGTTTTTAAAAAAATGAAATTGCCAGTATGATTTTTAACTTTTAAGTAAAGTAACAGCATGTAATAGAAAATTGACATCTAAACGTAATCTTATTTTTTAACAACCTCTATGTGAAAAATTCAGATGCTTTAGCTTAAAGGATATTTATGAAATTGTTGGCAAACTAGATGCTTGAGAAAGCATTTGATTTAATTTCAGATAAATTACAACCACAAATATTGTATTCATTTATTAAATACATGCTGTAAAACAGGGATAAAACAATAATGGAGAGGTAATGGCCAAGGCAGGAAAAATTTCAGACATTATGGAAATGAGGAGGAAATAATTTAAACGTATAAGCTGTATTTTGGTAAGGGGAAAAAAACAGCAAATGTTATACCTTAACAAAGACAACACCTGAAGAATGAATGAGATTAATATAAACAAGGTTTTAACAGGTTTATAACAGTGCTAGCATTTATGTAGATTATTTTTTTAAATCTATTAAAAAAGGAATTTAACTAAACTGTTTTCAATTTTTAAAAGTTATTAAATTTACTCTAATGAAAACAATCTTTTATGACCACTAGTTATATACGTCCCTGTTATTAACTTTTCATGCTAAACAATTTCTTTTGATACATTCGTAATCCAATGCTATTTTTACTATTTGAAAAAAGACAAATTTCTTACCCATCGTTTCTTTTCTAATTCCTTGTTCTCTTCTTCCGATTTCTTTTCAGCTTGCCGCTGTCTAGAAACATCTTGCATATGTGCTGAAATCCTTTTTTCTCGCTCTCTAGTTTCATGTATCTATATTTTTTAATGGAGTATGTCATGAGCTTTTTTCCAGTGTGGGAACAAAACAGTCTATGAATTACTCAGTCATTTTTAAGATTGGTTAAAACCTAAGCAGATATACAGGTGCAATTTCGGCACAGGAAAAAAATTAATGAGGTGGTAAAAAGGGGCATCAGAATCAGCTTGTATAGACCTAGAAGGTATGGTCTTAACACACAAAAAATTATCAGAAAAATAAAAGAATAGTGAATATTAAGGATTTATGTTTTTTTTCTTTTTTTTAAATCAATTTAGAGGTGTTTGACAGTTTAGAAATCAATAATAAGTACTTAATAATAACTGCTATGAATGGAATTAAAACCCCAAAATATTAACTGCCACATTTTTTTTTGTAAAACCTTATTGATTCAACATTATTAGTTCATTATTTAAAATATTTATTTAAAGGTTAAATAATTTACATTTTAATATGCTAAATATCCTTTGAAAAAAATCGAGGAAACTTCAATTTCTTAGACTTGATAAAAGGTAAATGTTAAAAAAAATCAAAAAAGGTGGGTTAAAGTTGGAAAATTAGGAATATTTTGAGAGAGATGGAAAGTGTTAAAAACAAAAATAATACCTCTCGCTCTTTTCTTTCTGCCTCAGCATTTTTTCTCTCTTTTTCTAGTTGTTGTTTCTCTGCTTTCTGTCTCTCAATTTCCTCTTGCTAAGGAAGATAAAAATTTAAAATATATTCAATAGTGCTTAACTTAAAGATAACTTCTGCTTCTTCTGTTCGCTTTTTTTTTTATGGGCTGTCGTGGGGAGTTACAGTAGCTGATCTGCTGCCATTTCTTCTCCTTTTTTTGGAGAAGTGTGCTAGGCCTGTCACAGCTTGAATTTTCGTTTGGGGACTTATTCAATTTTTAGATTTCAGCCATCTCGTTGCTATCCAGAACTAAATCAAATAGTCACCATCAGTAAAGTTAACTGAATTTGTTATTGTAGTCATTAAAAAAATGTTAAGATGATAACTAATAAAATATGAATGAATCTGAACAAAAAAGTTAATAAGTTTTAAAATTAAGAAAAACATTCATTTGATTTTTAAATAGGTGTAAGGAATAAGTTAAGCTAAAAAGGGTGAGCATGTTTTTTGTTGAGAAAATCTATATTCAGGCCAAGGAAGCGATTGCTGAACTTTGAGTTGGAGGCTAAATAAGGGACGAGCACTCACAATCTGTCATTATAAAGTCTTTTGCCGAAGGAGAAGAAGATGGTGTAGTAATGTAGTCTTCTACCTCAGTTTGTCACACACAACATAATAAAAGAATACATTAAGAACAAACATATTTGCTCACCTCTGTTTTGGCCCAAAATTTATCTCTTGTACTAATGTTTATTTCTTTTGTTGGAATGACTCTTTGATAATCAGTTCCCTAAAGAAAGCAAATGATAAAAATAGAAGTTACTTATAACTTGTAATATTTTTTTGAATTCAACCCAGGTGCCTAAGTTAACATCTATTGAAAAAAGTCAACTTACCACTGGTCCTGAGGGTTCTACAGGTTTCGCCTTTTCTTTGTGAAAACTATAATTAGCACCAGAAGATTTGGCAACCTTTTGCAAGATGTCTTTGGCATCAATATCTTGCTCACAGCGAGCAGGAACTGTAATATGAATACTCTAGATTTGGAAGTAAATAAAATGGCTGGATGAATGATAAAAGTAAAGCAGCATTTCTTTTTAAAAAGGGAGGTTATCCAAGCTAGAGCTAATTAATTTCCTTAACCCACGTTTAATTAGGTTTACTTTTATCTTTCAATTAAAAAATATACATATCAGTCTAAAATAATGGAAATTATATCAGTACTTTTTAAATTATGTCTGGAATGAAATGGTTACAATAATATTAAGTTGAATGACACTGTCAGAGGAAAATCCAAGAAATGAGGAAAAAACAATGCATTTTCTTAAAAAGTCCATCTTGTTTACAAATGCACCCTTACAAACTTAGGTAATCTAATCAAGTACCGGTAAAAATTACCATATTTTGCTAAATTTTAAAGGCTAATTCTAGTGTTGGAAGCCATTCTCAAAAATATATAATACTAACTGTGACAACGCAACAACGTTGCGCGTGTAAAATAATGAGCATAAAAAATTATTAAGCATAAGAAATCAATTACCATCATACCCATGCATACCCTGTGATTGTTCAAAACCCTTCTATCTCTTTCCTCAGTACCTTCATTTTCCTTTGTTTTAAGCATGTCTTGTAAGCTGTACATAAGCGGTGGGTAAGGAATGTGTTCTTTTGTATGCATTAGGGGCATATGACGGGGGGAGCGTCAATGAGAGCACATCACAGTATGCAATGAGAGCGAGGTGGACAAAATCCACTTTTGATTTTTTTTTTAGCCACAATGGAATTATTTTTTTTAGATGCTCCAGTAAACATAACATTATGACTAATCTAATTATTTTATAAATGGATATAAATCCAAGAACTCACCCTCAAAAAGCTTTGTACATCTTTCAGATGAGATGTGTACTTGAGTTTAAGATTTTCTGGAACCCCTTCACCAGTCTATACAAAAATATAATCTTATCAGTCAAATTATTATTTCCAAAAAATATGTTTTCATTTTGAAATTGAATCAGAAACTTGGTTTAGGCAGCATTTCAATTTTTTTTTCCCATTCAGAAAGAAGGAATCAATGAAATATGTAGTTAAATAAGACAAAATAATAACAAAAAAATAACTGAAACCTCATTTCTTTCCTATAATTATAATATTTTGAATATACAGTAGTACCTCAAGATAAGAATTTAATTCGTTCCGTAAGTCAATTTTCTTGTAACTCAAGCAATTTTCCCCATTCCAATTAATTGAAATGCCCTTAATCAGTTCCAGTCCCCAAAATGTCACCCCAGTTTTTTTTGTTACATGTTTTTGAATAAGAAAAATTTATTTATAAATGACAAATATATAAAAACTAGGGGTGTGCCGGACCCCGGTCCGGAATCCTGTTCCGCCGGATTTTGCACTATCCGGTGAAATCCGGTTCCGCCGGATTTACATGTATCCGGAACAACCGGATTCCGGAATCCGGAATATACCGGATTTCGGAATTTGCCAGATTTTGTGACTCACCGGATCATAATCTGAAATAAAAGTAATTCTCTTTCCCGAATTCCACACGATCACGATACATTAATCGATTGTTTCGAGCGTTGAGCTTGTTTAATGTTTAATATTCCGTACATACCAGAGGCTAGAGTCAGCACCGCTAATAGTGGCCAATAGTGTAGGGACTTTGATAAGAAAATTTAAACTTTTTGTAAAAATAAACCAATGGCATAGTTGAAAAGATGTAATTTTTTAAAGAATTATAACACCAAAATCATATTTTTAGCTGTTGTAGTTTTAAAGTTATGAATTTTTAAAGTACGACTTGGTTTGTCATTTTTTAACATGGACTGCATCTCCACATTCTGTGATCTCATTCCACCAATCCCGTCATGCGCAATGACTATATAGTTTATATAAGGCAACGCATTCCCTGCCTTATCACTAAAATACTGTTTAGACTTAGTTTAAACTTTCAACTTTGGCACATGAATAATTAATTAAAGCTTTCCCTGACCAATGGTTTAATAGTTTTTGCACACGGCAAACTCTTATGAATGAAACTCTGAGGTAGTACTACGATACAGTTATGCAAGTGGCTGTGAATGGTTGCCAATGACAACGTGTTGCACACGGTAAATTCTGATCATTTATAATATGGATTCTACCGGGTTGTTAAAGCTCAAATTAAAACATTCCAGTTTAAATGTCTTTAAATGCATTCTGAAACACAAGTTATCAATTATTTTGATGTAAATAGTGATAATAAATTAATATTTCCTAAGTATCGTCAACTTCCGCCATTAAAAAGGGGGGCGTGGCCAACCCCATGGCGAAATTAGGTTGAGCGAGCTGCATAACCTGCTGCGAACGCGTAGAAACATGGCGTCTCTCGTAAGACACTTATCCAAATGGAACGGAACTCAAATATATATCGAAAGTACTAATTTAATAATAAATAGACACACACATCGGAAAATTAAAAACTCGGATTTTTTGGCGCCGATTGCGAATTCCCATACACAAAAAGTAGTAGTCCACCTTGACTTACCGAAGTATCTACCAATAGTACCAAAATCCGGAATCCGGGAGAAACCGGAATCCGGATCCGGCGGATTTCGCATAAGAAAATCCGGATCCGGATCCGGTTGGAAAAAACGGATCCGGCACACCCCTAATAAAAACATAATAAAAGAGAATGTAAAGAAATAAACTGGTTTTACAAAGTGCCCTGCGTTAAGGTATCTCCTTTAAGCTGCTTCTCCATCACCCACACCATCAGCAGTTTCTCCATCTTTTCATTGAGAGAGGTCCAGAGGTTAGAAATTATTGTAATGCCCTTAGCTGGCATTATACCCTTTATCAACTCCTTCAGTTTAGGCACAGTACATATCGTTCAAGCACTATGCCTGTACTGCCTCGCCAAGTCAGTCACTCGCACACCTTGCTCACGTTTTTCTATGATTTCACGCTTAAATTCAAAAGACATCTTCTTCTTCTTAGCACTGACCTTTCCACTCACTTTCTTCAGACCCAATGGTTATAAAAAGAAATGTGATAAAGTACTGTAAATGCACAAAAAGCACAATTCGCCAGCACAACTTATCAAAGATGCTTAGACAGCGAGGCAAACAAGCACACTGACAATGTGAGATGCACGAGGCAAGACTGGTATGTTTGTGTGCAGCTGGCCGACCCACTGACCCAGTTCCTCGTATCTTAAAGCAAAACATCACTCGCTCGCCTGCTCGTATCTCAAAAATCTTGTATTTTAGGGCACTCGTATGTCGAGGTACCACTGTAATATTATCTTTAGATATATCTCATATCTTTTATTATCATTTTGATTGTGGTCACAACTAATATTATAACAGGAATGAAGGAGGCAGTACTTACCCAGTGAATGAGAACATATTTAAATAATCCCGTATTTGGATCTTGCACTCTACAGTATGCATAGAGCATTTTACCACTGCTGAGTTCTTCTGCCATCTCATCAATACCTCCATCTTAAAATAACAACAACACATGCTTAGAGTTAAGATGACATAATATATCAGAAACCAATAAAATCTGCACCTTAAGAAGAAAATATAATTTGTTCATGTAGTTCACTCAAATCATCCAATAAATAAACATTTCATATAATGATGACTGACTAATCATGTATATAGTGTATGAAGCTCCTTTTTAGTTGTGGGCCCTAATCAACACTGGTATCTTCTTACATTCCTTTTAAGGCCTTAAAAGTTGTCATAAATAAAAATTTTGGCAGTTATAGAAATTATTTGTTTAAGTTATTAACAAATAACTGAAATAAAATAATTAACACTTACTTCCTGTTTCGATCACTTTCAAAATTGGAGTCTGACCTTCATAACCAAATAGAGCCCTGAACAATAATTAATTAAAAAAAGGGAATAAAGTTGCACCATACTATAGACAATGTCTGAGAATAATTGTTTGAAATTTTGCTGTAGCTATGGCATAGGCCCACGGTAGGCACTTTGGTAAAGCAAGGCAGACTACTTTAAAGTTTGTATGGGCGTCTGCTAAGTTAGAATCTGAGTTTTAAATTATTTCAAGTTAGTGTAATTCCATCAATAATCAATAAAGGAGTCCTTTTGACCAATAATTAAGTTCTGACTCTGTTCTTTCACAATGGAAGACACATACACTCCAATGAGTTGTGTTCTTTCGATCAACTTTAATTTTGGAAATCCTAATCAATGATAGGTTGGGGCATTAGTCAATATAAAGATTTGATGAAATATTAAATCTATGAAATCTATGTCTATGTCTTTCTTATAGCATCAGTGAAAGAAACATATATTATATATTGATGTATTTTATTTGCAAAATCTCATTGATTCATTACACTAATTAATACTAAGTCCACTATGTCAGGAAAGTTATCAACAATGTCTCAGACAATGTCATAGCTCAAAAATTACAAAAGATAGAAAGTGATTTTAGTTTCATTTTTGCTCCATAATTTAGTATAATACTCATACTGTAGACTGTAGAAGTATAATTTCATAAGTTTACATTTTTTTTTTTGGCTACCACTATACTTAAGTATTATGATTATCAGTTTGAGTACTTTGAGTAGGCTACAAACTATACAATTGTTTTTAATAATATTAATTAATAAGTAGGCCAAGAAGATGTAGACCTATTTAATTAATTTCAATGACAATAATATGTAAAAAAAAAAAAATGACAATGTAAAATGTTATAGGTGAAACCAGTGTAACAGATAATTAAATTTCACTTCGAAGTTTCATTTAGTCATCATTACTATATACTATTTGTAGTATTAATTAGTTAACTATTATTATTAAATATTATTAGGCCAGCCCTATGTACATGAAGACCACCATCAGTGAATTATCAGTGAAATAAATTTCGATACCGATAGTCCAGGAAATTTAAATCACTTGTAATTGTGATAACTTTTGGCATAATATCTTACCAGTCAGTATCATCTTTATCATTAACAACTTTTTCGTAAGCAATTACCAGCGACTGTTTATTTTTTTGTAAATCTATGGCCATGGTTTTGTGATGGGGGAGGATTTCGAAGCACTTAACCAAAAAAGCAGGAAGTAGAAAGTCGTTGTTTTGAACGTCATTTCATTTTGTGTATTAAATGTAGGTCATCGCTAATCATATGGATATCTTCCTTAACAACATTAACTGCTATATGAACGTTTTAAAGCTGTGGCGTTTAGGATAGAGGCTACTATTGGAAAAGGGAAGGGATGCTTATTTTTTTCAATCGGCATCCTCATTGGCTGAATGAGAAACCAGAGACAGGCTACTTCTTATATGATATAGAAATAGGCGGGGAACAAAAAATGTATTACATTTTTATTTTTTTAAAATCAATTTAATATTGCCTGATTAATTTACGAGTTGATAAGTTACAGGTAAAAAAAAGTGTTAGTAGCATATTTGCTAGTTTCTTTTTACATCCACATTGATATGCCAACGTTCTTATTTTGCAATAACGGATTCTAATAAATTTATCATTGCCATATTGATATGGAATCGGCTTACACATCTTTGTCTAACTAGTCTAACAAATTAGCCCAACAAAATATCAGGACCTTCTCTGTTTGCTATAATTCTACGTAACCCAAGCCCAAGCTTTTAAGTTTAGCTGACAGAATGACAAGTTTCAAAATAGCACCAGGGACCATTGAAAGATTGCCATCACCCCTGGATTGATTGGATAACAAAATGTTTGACAAAAATAGACCAAAAATTTATTAAAGTAAAGAGAAAATAAAGAGAAAGTAACTAAGCTGATGTCCTGTCCGTTGGTTTACCATAAAAAATACGCTACAGTAAATTAAAACTATATTAAAACATTGCTAACAATTTTTTGCCCCCCCCCCCCTGGAAAGTTAATCAATTTTTTTGCCCCCCTCCCTAGAAAGTTTTCTGCGGGCACCCATGGGGAGCTGGTATCATAGGGTTCAGAAGAAATTGACAGAGGAGCTGGTATCATGGGGTCCAGAAGAAATTGACAGAGGAGTTGGTATCACGGGGTCCAGAAGAAACTGACAGAGGAGTTGGTATCATGGGGTCCAGAAGAAATTTACAGGGGAGTGGGCATCATGGGGTCCCGAAGAAATTGACATGGGAGTGGGTATCATGGGGTCCAGAAGAAATTGACAGAGGAGTTGGTATCATGGGGTCCAGAAGACATTGACAGGGGAGTGGGCATCATGGGGTCCAGAATAAATTGACAGGGGAGCTGGTGTCTTTGGGTCCATAAGAAATTGACAGTTGAGTTGGTATCATGGGGCCCAGAGGTAATTGACAGGGAACTTGACTCACCGTGCAAGCATAAAACAGAAAACGAGAGGGCAATGATTGAGTCTACTGATCGCTATCACTCTGGGCTACAGATGAGAACAAGAGCCACCAAGGAAGTAGCAGATATCTTTGACACTGTTCAAGCCAAGGTTCTACCACCTTCCACTGAACAAGAGTTACCGCTGTCTATTTCACAAATGACCACACGCTATGGTGAGAATGTGNGGGTCAGGACCTTGGGCATTTAAATTCTGCGGGACCTTTTGACGTTATATACCCAGGCTAATATCATATCAAGAGACTTCATAGTCATAATGGGGCACGTCTTACCGGGTATTTATTCACTCACTTAGAGTTTTTCGAAATTTCGCTATAATTTTTTTAAAAATTTTATTGTAACAGTTGCCCTGAGCCAATTAAATTATTCATAGCGGCTCGGTTATTGCTAATCTCATTTCTGGAAAAAAAACAAAAAAAAAAAAAAAAACAAATCTGAATGCACTATACCCTCTGACAGAGACTGATAATGTAATGGTGGTGACACTGTCTCGTTCATTTGACAATGTTGACAATCCATTCAATCGAATCTGAGACATTGATGATCTCAATTAAGTTTTTATGGACAATAATGTTGAAAGAAAAAAAAAAAACGCTTTTTTTTGCACTTGGTTGGGTTACCGACACTGTTCGCGATATCATGACCCGTTTAAAAATCTACCAACTGCGCTAGCATTTCAAGACACGGTAATGTTGTTTTGACTTGTCTTGGAATCATGTCTCTCACTCTCAAGATCCTCAGTTCTTCTAGTAAGTCCGAACTAGCTACATCCCGTGAATCACCACTTCTCAACGCCATGTCCCATTCAACACAGTGTTTGCTCAAAGTACGAACTCAGTGGCGTAGGAAGAGGGGTGTGGTTCGCATCATGCGGCACTTTAAATATTTTTTATATGGAGGGCCGGAGGGCAAAAAAAAAAAAAAATAATAAACAAATAAATATAAAAAGGGGAAGGGGCATATTTTTTTCTCATTATGTTTATATGGAATTTGTGCCCCTTGAAAAGCGCCGCTCTAGACAGCCGCCTATGCCACCTCTACGCCCAAACGACACATACAGCCTCTATCACCTATCCTGCCTAAAGCCGGCACTGGTTAGTTACAGTAAGTTTAATTTATTTGTATTGAAATCAGGTTCGTGGCAAGCAAAAGCTGAACCCGAAGCTAAGCCTGAATTAAGGCGCCCTCTTGCATTAAAAAAATGACAATTTTAGTGCCATGTGATGATTCGTCCGGGGTTGTCTCCTCTTCAGGGACGCCTATCCCCCCTTGAGTGAAGGAAGCCAACCACCCGTCTCCATCCTCCACCCCCACCCCAATTAGGACCCCACCCCCACCCCCAATTAGACCTTGGACTTGGTAAATGCTGTATTTGGGTCATAGTAATGGTGTTAATTCGACAGTTCATAAAAATTGTTAGTAATGCAAACGTTAACAATTAAACAAATTGTTTTAACATTGTTGACTTTCTGATAATAATATGGATCACAAACTATTAAAAATTCGTTAATAGTAATAGCTCAATAAGTATTCACATTTTTCTGCAATTCAAATGATCAAATCTAGTGATTTTTCAAAAATTTTTAATTTAGTTTTAATTCTTCCATCCAATCTCTGTTACAGCCCATCTAGTGCTTTGGCCTGCCTCACCACATCCTTCCACTCAGACGTAAATGATACTTTTCTTTTCCATGCTTGGATTCCCAGCTGCTGTAGATCTTTTCCTCATCATCTGTCCACCTAAGCCTAGTTCTGTGCAGTTCTCTTCCTCAATATTTAATCAAGTTTTGATTCGTAGAATTCATCAATCCGTTATATGGCTGGATGGCTGTGTCATTCCATACTAGAGAATTTTTTTTATCAATTCCAAACCTAAGTCAGACATGTTAAAATGATCTGTTTCCCCCACCTATATAATTTGTTAAAAATCGAGTATTTTTATTACTTTCTGTAGAAGCAATATTGCTGCCCACAGATACTACTTACCAGCTAAGTGCTATTTCTTATTTTTATAACGTTTTTTCTGTTGTTTTGTTCGCTGACGAAGGCTTTCTGCCGACACGTTCGCTGTTTTGTTACGTTTAATTTTTCAGGTTTAA